CACACACACACACACACACACACACACACACAATTAATACAGACAAATATATAAAAGCTTCTGTTTAAAGATAAATGACCAAACAGTGACAGTGAGTGACGCTGACATCAGCATCGTGCAGCTTCAGTTTGTCCTGTGAATCTATTCATGTTGCAGCACACTTGTTCAGGTAACACCTGCCGCCTGCTCACCTGAGCTGCAGGATCAGTGAAACCTCTCAGCGCCACATGCAGGAGGAGCACTGATATGCTCACAGCTGCATGCCTGCTACTCTGACTCCTTCCTGGTGAGACATGCCGAGGATCACGTGCTTCTGTGCTTTCTCTGTTTACACAGCGTTTTAACTCTAATGCTGCTCGGGGAGGTTCAGGACTGACGAGCTCGGAGCCGTCTCACCTGCACAGACCCCGGAGCACGCCGTGTGCATGAATGACCACGCCACTGTTTCTATTGAAGCGGCGCTAACAGAATGAAAACAGGTTTGCTCTGTATTTACATCTGGAGCATCTCCAGCTGTGCACCAGAGGCATTAATGTGCAGCTGCAACAAGATGCACCTGGATTATAACATCAAGTCTTCTCTGGAGTGTTTCACGTGCTCCGACTTGCTGAGTCGTGCAGAAATCGTGTTTTACTTGTTGCTCGAGGTTTCATGTGGTCGTTAAAGAATCCAGGTGATCTGACGGTGTGACATGATTTGGACATCGTCCATCTTTTTATGTAGGATTCTCAGAGTAGTGCGTCCTCCCCTCACATAATGTCTCTGTTAAAGGTGTTGCATTGCTTCCTGTAAACGCCTGGCTGTTCTGTGTGGTGTGTTTTGGTGTAGGGCGACGCTCTGATGCTGTCCTACCTGCAGGTACAGCGTTCCTGTTAGCAACATGCTGAACGTTCCTCCGCCAGCTGCCACGCCCATCACCGACTCCACAGAGCTGCACAAGAAACAGCAAAAAGCATCCAATCAGTGCCACGGGCGGGGCTAACATCGCCAGTCATGTGTGTGCAGTAGATTATTTTATAATGATAACAGCTGTCAGAGGACGGGCACTCACAGGTTGCTCTGGCAGAGCGACTCGATGCAGATGGCTGCTTTCACGCTGTCTCTGAGTCGCACCTGCAC